GCCTCAAGAGTCCACTGCTGAACATAGGCCTCTTCCTCATGTTTTCAACCCCGTCTATCTTGCGTCGCTCTTTTTTCTTTGCTATTTTAAAACTGTCTGTATTTGTAATGGAGTGGTGTTAAAATGTAAGTAGGGAGGGTTTAAGGGTGGGAAATAATTGTAAAATTGTGATAGAATGGTAGTAATACAGCGAAAAATGACATGATTTTTCGCATGTGAAAAAATTGAACAATGTGTATATAGAGAATAAAATTGAACCTAATATAGATCCTTGAGGCACACCAGTATTAAGATCTAGAAATGAAGAAATATTTTGATTTAGTTTTACTGTTTGACATCGATTAGAAAGATAGGATTTCATTAGATCAACTGCTCTCGCTTCTAGACCCATATATTTTAAAATAGAGTATAAAAAATTATAGTTAATTGTATTAAAAGCTTTTTAGTAGTCTAAAAGAATTAGAATTGATATTTTGTTTTGGTCATAGGCAGTGAAAATATTATCTATATTTGATAAAGCAGAAAGACAGCTATATCTGGACTTAAAGCCGGACTGCATCATAGGAATTATATTGTTATTTTTCAAATACGTTTGTAACAGAATATCAATCACCTTTTCCAAAATTTTAGAAAATGTAGGCAGTACACTTACTGGTCTTAATTCATTCGTGCTTTCTGTAATTTTAGTCTTTGGTAAAGGAATAACATGTGCCCGTTTCCATTTAGTGGAAAAAATTGAATTTGTTAATGATATGTGTGATATATGGTAGAAGAAAGGGAATACACAGTTGCAGCGTTAACATGTTAATACCATCATCACTAATAGCTGTACTTTTAATATTATTAATAATATGTAAAATATTGATTTCAGATACTGATTTAAAGGTATGAAAAGGACTGAGGGAATACTTAAAGTTATTTTCATAGAATATTTGTGTATTAATGTCTGCTTTCATGTTTGATATGACTTCAATAAAGTGTTTATTTATCACATTTGCATTCCACACGTTTTTAATTTCGAAGTTATTTTTGGTTTTGCAATTATTTACCAAATATTTTAAATTATTCCACATACCTTTAGAAGATTGATCATGTATGTTTTTAAAATATGATAAATAAAAATGCAGAAATTTACAGATCCAGCAGGAATCAATCCAGAGCTAGTACGATTTGGCACACTAAAATTACTACAAAGTAAACAGAGAGGATATTCCATAAAAATGGAAACAGTCTTAGGAAAAAAAAAAGTACAACAGCCGACCTAAAGAACTACAAGGGTATAGCGGTATACCAACAGTAGGAAGAATTTATTCTGTTAGAATACTAAAGGAATTTATTAAGAAAGATACTACAAATAAATAACCGGAAGAACAAGCAGAATTTTGCTCATGGAGGTCTACTATAGATAATATATTTACACTAAAAATTACATTCGAAAAAAGGGTACAGATTATGCTCTAAAAACAAAATTTGAGTGACGTTCACATATATAGATCTAATGTTAAATACAGAAGGAATAAAAAGGTAGAGAAAAGAAAATCTCTATGAGTAGTCTTTAATAAAAAAGGAAAAAGCGAGACAAAATATAAAGCAGAATTAACAATGGCAGCAGAGCGACTATCCGTACACTAAATTCTTTTCTCTGAGACAAATCAATAAAAAAAAACCGAAAAAAACACATTTTTAAAAGTGGCTGACAGTAGAAACAAGATCGTGGCAACCGAAATGGATTTGATGAGGAGGAGTTGTCGAGAATCAAAATTAGAGAGAATTTAAAATGAGCATATAAAAAATGAAATGGATGTGGCCGAAATATACAAGAAGAGATTGAAAGAAGGCAATTAACTTGGTTTGATTATGTTAAGAGAACGCCACAGGACAGATGACCCCGGAAAATATTGTAATGAATACTTGCAGAACGGTGAAAAAGATAATAACGAAGCCGAAGTTGGAGTGATGAAATTAATGAGGCTCTAAAGGAAGGAAACTTGGTAGATAATGGTACCTTGAAGAACTTTTGAGAGGAATGACCCGCAGATTGAGATAAGGCAAAGCTAAGTTACTAATTCCGGAAGCTAGGTGGACTGTAGGCATAGGCAGCTGGAATATTATCTGACACAAATGCTCACAGATCATGATTGCTTCCGTAGCTACCTTTTCAGGTTTAGGAGGGGACAGTCTGATCAGTGCCTTTATTGTGGTCTCTCAAATACTGTGACACACACGATGTTGGAGTGTGAGCGTTGGGGGGATGAAATAGAGTATAACTGCAGAATGTGTGATTCCGTGAGAGAAATGGTGGAGAAAATTGTGAGGGATGAGTGGTGGTGGATACGGATCCATAAATTTATGAGGGAGCTGCTCTCTTCAAAAGAGGAGAGGGAAAAAACGAGAGGAGAGGGAATCCGCAACAGAATTTTGAAACGAGCGATTAGCACTTCGGTGGGGTTCGTATTGTCGCAGGCCAAAATAGGAGCAAATGAGAGACAGAAGAGGAAAAAATGATGTCAGCCTCGCTAAGACTGGGGGTTGAAAATCTTTGGTGGCTCGTGTGGGTATGATTTTCCCGATGAATGTGTAGGAAAATGAATGGGAATCGAATGATAGCAGAGCAGCAGAAAAGATGTTTTGCCTTAATCAGCCCTTCTATCCTGAAGTCTGGAGTGTCACAGGAGGGGTTTTAATTTGGACACCAACCGTCTCGGAGTGGTGACGGGATAAAGTGTCAAAGGGCTAACTCCCTCGAGCATCTTGTCCTGGCACTTCGTTAGGGTATTAAGAACCCAACACTATATAATATGTGAGTCACAGGTGTGTGCATGTAGATTTTCCTTCTTCTCTTTGAAGACGTAAAAAAAGGAGAATGGTTCCTTAAATAGAAAGAAATGGAAACTGAAAACGGAGAGACGGCGGCAGCAGTAAAAAATCCGGTATATGCATAACATTATTAAGTTATCAGTAATTGGCAAAATACGATAACCAAAATTTAAAAAATACTTGTATCGGTGATAGATAGAGGTGGTCATTCGGCCTATTCCACTGCTACCTTTTCAGATCTGTTGTAGTCCTCTAGTCCTAGATAAAATTCTCTAGTCTAACCCTTTTTATAAAATCTGGTAGCTGCGAGAATGTACCTTTCATGTAGCTATTTGCCAGTGGACTTTCTTGTTCTAATGCAAAGAATCGCACATTTGCCAGACTGTCATACTGACATAAAATGTGCTCTGCTGTTTCTTCTTCGAGGTGACAGAATCTGCACAGGTCATCATCTGATAATCCCATTAGCTTCAAGTGCCTATTCAGCTTACAGTACCCTATTAGAAGACCTTCTATGACTTCGACTGTTTTCCTGTCTTTGCTTATTAGGCCTGCCGTAAATTTTGGCAAATGTTCTGTAATTAATTGTTTCGCCTATCTTTGTCTTGGTAAATTCCTCCACCATTCCAGAGATTTGTGAGCTACCCACTTCCTTGTAGCCGTTCTTGTTACTGACTAAAACGCTGCAGAAGGGTTCCGGTCCAATGAATGGCATTGATGAGCCTTTTTGGCTATTTCATCTTCTTTTTCATTGCTCTTATGACCCTTGTGCCCCGGTACCCAGGCTACCGTAACCTTACTACGGCTTCCTAGTTTATTTAGGGTGCACACGCAATCCCATACTAGCTTAGAATGGACCTCTACATGGCAAATGGACAGAACGTTCTTTCCTGCCTTTCTAATTCTTCCACACAGTGATGGATTGCAGTTATTTGCTAGAAAACTGTCACATCCTTAGATAGACTTACTGGGAAATGTATCCCTTGATTTGTCCCTACTATGCCGGCTCCCACACCCTCCGATGTTTTTGAGCTATCCGTGTACCAGGTAGCAGCAGCTTGTATGGGTACACATTTATTCCAGTCTTCATTGCCTGGTATCTTAATTGTGAATTTATTGTTAAAACTACATCTTGTAGATGTTGCATCGGCTTTTAGCTCCTCGATTAGCTTTCTTTTGTCAGTACCATGCATCTGGCTTATATGTCGCTGACTGTGGATTAATCTGTGCATCACTGATCTGGCGTAGCCCTGTATAAAGATATGAAGTGGTGGTAGGTTCAACAGTTTCAACAGGACTTCCAACGACGCAGAAGGAGTTGTTTTTGTGGTTCCCGTAATAAACAAGCAAGCCAGCTTTTGTGTATTACCTAACAGCCTTATTGCTCCCACTTGCTGCGTCTTTGTCCACCACGTCACCGAGCTATAGATTATCATGTATCTAATAACCCTTGCGTATAACCATAGAGTCATTTTAGAGTTATGTCCACAATTCATACCGCACATTCTTCTACATCTACCCAGGGATATAGTAGCTTTCTGTGTGGTTTTCAGAATGTGAGTATTCCATGTAAGCCTATGATCAAAATATACCCCAAGGTATTTTATTTCTTTGCCAAATGAAATCTCTGTTCTTCCCAGCATCGGTGGTTTTAGGCCTTGTAGTGCTGTTGTTTTGGTGAAGTTGACGATTTGTATTTTCTGAGCTCTTGTTTAGTCGCCAACTGTATTTAGGGCTGCTTGCATTCTCTCACACATCACCTGAGCAAACCTGCTCCTGACAACGATTGCTATATCGTTAGCATATGAAGTAACTTAAAATTGATGAACTTTATGTTACTGATATTTTAACTAGTATATTAAGATTCGGATATTAAATATAGTTTAATTCTACTGATTGTTATAATGCCTAAAAAGAATAACTCAACCTAACACTAATCTTCAATTATTTTAAAGGGTGTACGTACATAAGGTTGAATATCCCATTCATACAATATGCGTTAGGATCGTTACTCTGAAATATACGCAGTATACGTACTTTAATTAGTTAAAAGTGTCACAAAATACTTTGAAAGTATCTAATTTGCCTTGATAAATTTTAAGTATCAAAATAATGGTCTAATTTCGCACAACATGTCGTTTGCCAAGTCAAACGTTTTATTTTATGAAAGTTTTCAGTTGGCCCAGTAAGATCGCGCAAAACAGACGAAAATCATCAAATTATTTTTGTCAATTTGATTAACAATATTGTAAATAGTAGCGAGGTTAAAGGTGTAGACCATAAAATTTAATAATTTAGTGCTGAAAATTAGCGGCGAAAATATTCGGCCCGTGGGTTTTTTATAGTTGAAATCCATGATTCGCCTTGAAATAGTGAAAAATGACGGAAGCTGAGAGGTACGGGCGAGAATATAGCAGACTAAGAAGACTCACTAGTAATTTAGATGTGCAACAATCTTGTGTAAGTCTAATTATAAACTTGAGTGTATAATTGGGAGTAAAGGTGGGATGTTTGTTTACTTTTTCTATGTTACTATTATAGTAACGATATTTTCGCAACAGTTTCAACACGTACTGATGTTTATCGATAATTATGTATTTATTGGTTTTCGACTGAGCTTTCTTTATACCTCAATATGCGCAATCTTAATAAATTACACAAAGACAGTTTTTGAAGTTGTGAAGAAGTTCCGGAAAACTTCTTCACAACTCAAAGTTGTAACGTCGGCATCACATCCATTGCTCTTTCACTCCTTCATATATAATTCTTTTCCTTCATTACCGGATTAAGCACTGGTTGCATGTTCCGAAATCAAACTTCGCTCCGTCTTATCAAGAGGCGTCCCTTACTTCCTTTTTCTTTAGGTTTGTAATTTACTATTTATTTGGGTAACCATATTTAGCTAACGAGTAGACATATTTAGTTCTTGTCAACATCTTTATTTCTTTATTTATCCACTCTTGTAATGTCTTTTACACTTCTAAAAACCTCATTTCGCTGACTTGGTTTCTAAAGTTATCTCTTTGCTTCATTGTTCAGCCTTCTTCTTCTTTTTAAAGTGCCCTCTCTTTAATAGAGGTTGGCAACGACAATTGCAAATTCCCCTCTATGTTTAGCTATTCTTATTCTTCTGTGTGCCGTCTCCCTACGGAGCTTGGCAATTATAATGGCTATTTTTATTTTTGAACTTGCTGCTCTAAACAAACCTATCGATGTACATTGATACCAATTACGTAGATTCTTCAACCATGAGTTCTGCCTTCGGCCAACAGATCTTCTTCCTTGAATCTTTCCCTGTATTATGAGTCTCAAACTTTCATATGCTGGTCCCCCCCCTCCTCACGTGGCCTAGGTATTCCAGTTTTCTGTTCTTATTAGCTATTCACAATTTAGCCCTTTAATTGTCGGATGATTTTTAGTCACGATAGTCTTTTCCTTCCAATCCTCTCTTTCCCTCGATCTTTTTTTCACTATTAGTTGAGGATATTGGTACTGGTATAATTTCTCCATATGTAGTCTACGTATGTTGTTTTTCTAACTTTTACTATGTTAAAAAGTTCTCGGTCCTTACCTATTCTATGCAGCACTTCTTTGTTTGAGGTATGCCATTTCCATGAAATTTTCAGGACTCTCCGATGGATTCACATTTCAAACGACCCCAATTTCTTTACGGTTGATGTTTTAAAGATCCACATTTTAACTTCATAGAAAAGAGTTAACCATAACTGGCATTTTGAGTAGTTGAATTTCGTGTTTTCGAAAATCACATAACAGTCTTTTGACTTTTTTAAATTATTTTCTAATTTTATTCTATATCCTATTTCCATATGAGGATTTATACTGATACCGATATAACATCCTAGGTACTTGAACTTGTTGACGGTTCTAAAATGTGTCCATTTATTGTTCAAGATTGAGGTAGATTTTGGTTTTTTTGGATTGACATTACAGGTTTTCTTAATGAAAACCAAAGTGATAATGATGATAATAATGATAATGATAATGTTAGATATATTTTTTTGATTATTCTATTTAGTCTATTGTATTCTCCGTCCTTGTCATCTTTTACTTTCGATTCTCTTCGTTTGTCCATTAATTTTAAAATCTGCTCTTTTATCCATTACTGTTAGATATTTCTGGGTGTTGCTTTTAGGTGCTTTTCTATTATGCTGATTATTTGCTCTTAGATAGTTTTTCATAGAACGTCTACGTCATCAGACTCGATAATTCTATATTGTCTGTTGTATTGTGGTTTTTTGACAATAGGATATCTAATTTGTCTTGAGATTTTTGTTCCTTTATTAGTTTTTATCTTGCTCGCACCTTTAAAACAACCAGATCATGATCGCAATTGATGTCAGTTCCGGGATATGTTTTTGCACTGATGTTAACATTGTGATAAATTTTGTTGGCCAATATATAATCTATCTGATTACGAATTACTCTGTTTTCATTATGTTGTGGTAAAGTCTAAGTGTATAATCTCCGAGGATGAAATTTAAACAATGTATTTGTCGCTACCATGTTGTGTTATTGGCAAAATTTAGGTTATTATTTCTCTCCTGTCATTCTTTACTCCAAGTCTAAAATCTCCAATGAATCTAGAAACCTTCTCTCTACCTAACTTAGCGTTAAAGTCACCTAATATAAAAGTTAAGTGCAGTTTTTTGGTCAACTTTATATATATATATATATATATATATATATATATATATATATATATATATATATATTATAATAACAACCCACTTACGCCCCTAAGGCTGATGATAAACCCATGGAGAAGCTAGATTCGTGGTACGCTGAGGTATATATATATATATATATATACCTCAGCGTACCACGAATCTAGCTTCTCCATGGGTTTATCAGCCTTAGGGGCATAAGTCTGAATGATGTTAATATTTACTGGTTTTCCAGATCGTTGAATAAGTAGGCATCGGTCACAAAATGGCACAAAATTTCTGACAGCATTATTGTATTTGTCTAAAATTACTCCAACTCCAACTTACGATGAACATTATTACCAGAGTAATAAAAAGTTTTGTTCATGGTTTTAACTTTACCTGAACCTGGCCATCTAGCTTTGCGCAAACTTAATGTCCGTATTCCTAAACGTTCAATCTTGTGGCATGCGTTTGCAAGTTTTCTCTTTACGAACAGACTTCTAACTTTCATTTTACAATCTTAAAGTTTATTTAAAATATTTAGACTATTCCTCCCAGTGATTCTTCACTTCCTTGATCATCTAAGATCTGCTGGGACTAGGGGCCGTTTCTGTGTGTACTTTTATTTTAGTTTTTTTGGGAAATATTTACCAGAGTGGTTTCCCGTTTCCTTCTTTGGTTTGTATTTTAGACGATCCTCTAAACACAGACGCTGTTTGCAGCCTTCTACTCTGGGTCAGACACTGCATGTTTTAATCCACCCCGGAAATTTCATTTTTCCAGTACACATCTGGGAGGCGTTCACCTAAACGCGACCTAGAGAGATGCTCGATGGAGGTCTAGCAATCTCACACAAGCTTTCACACTTATATTAATTTTGTGAATAAAGTCTCTGTCTTTCTCAAAACTTGTGCAATACCCTAGGAAATTGAAAATATTAACTTGTTCTAGTATGTCATTGTCAATTACTATTTTTGGTCTTATGGGATATTTACCTTTCCTTTTAGAAATGATTAGTTATTAGACTTGCCACATGACAAAAAATTGTGGATGTTAAACCCCTCTCTCAGGCTTAAAGTCGCAAGAATTATTTTAGCATAAAAATTGGTCACCCTCGATATAAAAATCGACCTGTTTTTGATTTTAGTCAATACATTTATTTACATATTATTGCCAAATATCAGGGTGGACCCTATGCATTATATTTTATGAAAATTCTGAAACAGGTTCATTTTTATTTCAAGGTGATCATCTTTTAACAAGATACTCATCGTTCATTTGTCAACCCCCTCATATCTAACTAAACGTGATGCCTATGTTTTGCTAGTGTTATGCCAAATTTTTTCCATTTCGTCAAAAAATACATTGAAAGAAATTTGCAAAAAGGATAGATATTTGAATACGAATTTTATGAAGATAAGAAACTTTTATCACATACGTTTAAAAATATTTAAAAAATTTCATGAAACGGCATCAGTAGCTGATAAAAAAAGGGAATGTAAAAAATGTGTTAGGACTGAAACGGCAGACGTAGGAATTTTAGGTCATATTAATTTGGAAACTACTTACATTACTTACTATTAAACTGGGAATAAGCCACAATTAAAGATAAAAATACGTTTATTGACGTTTCAATTTCCACTTCGGAAATCGTTCTCAAAATACAAACGGTAAATGTACTGTTTGTATTTTGAGAACGATTTCCGAAGTGGAAATTGAAACGTCAATAAACGTATTTTTATCTTTAATTGTGGCTTATTCCCAGTTTAATAGTAATTAATTTACAATGCCACAAGAAAATAGCTTCAGAACAATACTTAAATTACTACGAAAATAGCTCAAGAATTTGGCTTTTCGCATACTACTGTCTGCAGAGTACTGAAACATTACAAATTTTATCCTTGCAAAATTCACTTGGTACAGGAAATAAATTAGGATGATCCAGACAGGCGACTACAGTTTTGTGAGATTATGACTAAGACAATAAATAGTAATCCAAATTTTCTATTTAATACTTCTTTTTCGGATGAATATCCGTATAGTACTGTAAATCGACACAATGGCATTTATTAGGTTAATGATAAATCCCAGAGTTTTCCACTAAACAAATACCTAACACCTATTGAAATTAAACGAATGGGCATGAATTTATGGTATCAGGATCGTATTATTGGGTCTTTCCTTTTTCGACAAAATCTGAATATAGAAGCTTATCTAGAATTATTAAAGGACACAGTTGATCTCATTTTGACAGATATATTCAAAAATGATAACAGGTACGCAAAAGATGATTTATTAGTCCAACAAGGCTACCAACAATGAACGGATTCCGAGGCAATCAATTGAACATAGAGGTTTTATTGAATGGCCACCAAGATCCCAAGATTTAACCTCTCTGGAAATCTTCCAATGGGGTTATTCAAAAACATATTCCCAATATTCTGAAGCTATTTTCTTGTTGCGTCTTAAAAGAATTTACTATTTTCATTTGGAATTAATCCTAATTTTAGTTTAAAATTTGTTTATTTTGATGTTACGATTTCTACTTCGGAAATCGTTCTAAAAAATACAATTTAGACATTTATTATACATTTTAAAGTAGTTGACTTTTTAACGATATTGTCAATATTTTCAAGTTGCGTTTCTGGGGCGATTTTATTGGAAGATAGTTTATTTTTTGATTTCATGAAGTCAAGTTTAATCTAAGAATACCTAAGAAAAATCGTAATATGTAATTTGTCTTTAAAAAAGAATCACATGCAAAGATGATAGTAAAATTTTCCTGCCAGTGAT